TTTGAAAGAAGCAAAATAATTTTTATTTATAGATGATGTACCATATATGTAGAAAGTCCTAGACAAGATACAAAAAAGGATAATAGAAGCAGTAAGTTTACCATGGTCTCAGGGTACAATGCCAATATAAAAATTCAATTGCATGTCTATATATTAAGACTAAACCACTGGAAATTGAAATTTAAAATATAATTTACATCAGGATAGAATGTGAAATAGTTAGGGATAATTTTAACAAAATGTTGGCAAGAACTGTTCACACAAAACTATATCATTGAGTGAAATTTTAAAAGACCTAGTTAAATGAAGAGATATACTATGTTCACAGACTAGAAGACTTAATATCATTATAGTAACTGTCCCCGAACCTATTTATAGAACCAATGCTCTCTCAATAAAAAATCCCAGAAAACTTTTCCCTGTTGTTGAAAATTAGAATCTGATTCTAAAAGTTGTTTAGAAAAGCGATGATGCTGGTATAGCCTAAATAATTTTGACACAGGTGAACAAAGTTACAGAATTTATGCTGTTAATCTCTGAAACTTACTCTAAATGTACAAAAATGAGGACACTGTGCTACTGCAATAAGGACAGACAAAAATCCATAGGCAAACACAATAGACCATTAAGAAATCAGCTGATATCAACCGATTCTATTCAGATGGGCTGACAGGAAGGGGAAAGAGCAGTCTGAGTGAACGGTGGGTATCCACGAGTGAAAGCCGGAAGCTCAGTCCTTAACTCGCACTATACACTAAAGGAACTTAAGTCATAGACCTAAATGAATCAGCTAAATTCACAAAGTTTCCAGAAAAAAACATGGGGGAAATATTTGTAACTTTGAGTTACACAGATACTTCATAGTACAAAAAAGTCCATAAAAGAAAAAAAAAAAAAAAAACCCAGCTAAATTGATTTCAACAAAATTACAACTTTTCCTCTTTGAAAAAGATAGTTTAATTGGTTTTCTGTATGGGGGAAATAATGAATGTCATGTAAATATGAGTAAAAATGAGGGCAGATTTTGAAGTAAAAATTAAAAATGAAAAAAAGATTAAGGAATAACCCACAGAGTAGGGTTTTCAAGCCATATCTACAATAAAGAAGTTTTGCAACTTAATAAATAGTTGATTTTAAATGGGCAAAATCTTTGAAAATTTTACAAAAGAATACTTTAGGTATAAACAGCAGATAGGCATGAAAAGATGCTTATTTTCTATTTATATATAACTAGGGAAATACACAATGAGACCATCTGTTAGCATTACTGACATGATGATACCAAGGGTTGGTAAGGATATGGAGCCACTGGAACTCATATACTGCTGGTAGGAACATAAATGGCAGAATCACTTCAAAACAGAATCTGGAGGCTTCTTAGAAGTTAAACATACTCCTAGGTGTTTGCCTCAGGGAAAGGAAGATGCATGTCCATATGAAGACTTGTATTCAGCAAAACCAAAGATGAATTACTGATCACACAGCAATATGGTGACTCTCAACACATTATGCCAAGTAAAGAGAGCCAACAAAAAAGAGTATGGCTGTTGAAATTCCAGAAAGGAAAAATGTAATCTTTAGGGCTGGAAACAGTTGCTATTGTTTGGAGTGAATGTGTAGAGGGACTGAACAGGGAGGACACAAAGGAAGCTGTTTTGGGTAATGCAAATGTTCTGCTACATTGATTGTCATAGTAGTGAAATGGGTATGTACAATTATACAGAACCATACACTTAAATGCTACTTCACATAAATGTATAGTTTCATTGTATAAAAGTTACTTAAGTGAAAACAAAAGAAGCATTGCTTTTTTTTTTTCCCCCTTTCTAAAACAGTCTTCCCTTTTGAACTTCCTCTATAGGAAACTAAAGGTAAAACAGTTTTGTGATATTGGACAAGTAAGTTATCAAGCTGAACAAAGTATGCTCCCTGTTATCACTAAGTGAATTGGATGACTTCATTCATTCATTTATTCATTCAGTCAGTCAATAAACACTCATTAAGCCTGCAATGGGGCAATACTATGCTAGGTTCTAGAGATATAAGGGTAAAATGAAACCATTTTGACCCCAAGGAGTGAAGGCTTATCTAGCAGAAAAGAAAGGCCAGATAACTATGACTGTGATACACCATATATGTATTATGAGGAGCAGTGCCTTGAGGATGCAGTACCTGAGTTATGTAAGTTCTGAGGTACAAGGTAGAGTGAGGTAAGGAGAGAGAGGAAAGCATTCTAAGTGAGATGCTGCATGACAATGGGACAAAGACAAAGGACCCTCTGTCAGGAATTTCAGGGAGACATAGAGCATAGACATAGTCCTTGTAAGGCCCCAGTTGTACCTTGACTGGAAGAAGTTCAGAAATGGTGCACCAGTTTGAGCAGTGTATAGACTAGAGTTCTGCACCTAATGGATATCACATCTCAAAGAAAAATAACTACACAAGTTAGGATCTTTTCTGTTGCACAGAAAAATCCTTTGGTTCATATAACAAAATGGTCCAGGGCAAACGTGGTGGTGTGTGGCTGAGAATCCACAAGGACAAAGAGCAACTTTTCCCTCTCTCCATAGGAGACAAGGCCTGGCCTATATCCTTTCTTTTGCACCATCCAGTTTCCCCACATGATTAAACCAAAGTCTTCTAACCACATATTAATTGGCACTCACTGGTCATAGACTTTGCACTGATCACAAAGCCACCCCATGGTGGTATATGTGACCAGTTGGACAGCCCAGAGAGCATGGGGTTCCCGCAGTCAGCCTCATCTGAAGCACAGCAGAAAGAAGTAAACTAAAAGTAAAACACTGAGTCTTTGTGGAAGGCAGACCAGACACAGAGGGGAATTCTGTTTTAAGAAAAATGTATCCCAATCATTTTTGAAAGAACTCAGGGATTACAAACACATGTGGACAACTTCTTGTAACTTCCATAGCTAGGAGGAGTCAATGAACACTGCCTGGAGAATACGCAATATTGCAGGCACTACATAAGGGAAGCAACAGTTTTATGAGCACAAAGACACAGGGATAATTCTAATACATAGGCTCCAGGGTATCTTGGCAAGAGGAGATGCTTTTCTGAGTGGGACCTTAAAGATGGAGGGATCCTTTAGCAGAGATAAAAAGAATAGGAGCTGGTTAAGAATCAGTATGCAGTTTGCTGAAATGCACAGGAATTGATCAGCATGGGACATGGAAATGGAATGGCCAGGCTGGAGGAATTACTCCTACCCTGCTACATAGCCGGGACTGCATCTTTAAGCAACAGACAGTTCCATTCTAAGCACAGAAATAACCCAACCTCACAGGCATTTAAAGAACTATAGGAATAGATTAGATACTTCTTGAGACAACAAGGAAGACGTTAAGTATGGGGGAGAAAGTTAAGTTTTGGGGTAGAAGGTAAAGAGGGCTCAAGTATTTTCTGTTCTCCCTGTGGCATGAGAGAAGAAAGTCCAGGCCGAATGTGAAGGGTGCTCGGCAGTTACATCAAGTTGGAATTTCAGTTAGCTAGAATACCATTATCACCAAAACATTCTGACCAAAAGATGATGAAATAAGCTCTTCCGAACATAGCCATGACCTATTTTAGGGGATGAAGTTCAGAGGAGTCAAACACAACTCACCATCAGTGCCAATGCCACAGGTAGGACAATTCTGCATCACTGGTCTCCTTGACCCTTGCAGTCACTGAGGCAGCACTTGGGAAAGGGTGGCAGTGGTTGATAGAAGATGGCATGGGAGAATGCTGGTGGAAGGAGGCCAGTGAGGCAGTATAAGGAGGTGCAGGTAGCAATGGAGTGGCCGAGGTGGCCTGACTGCTTGAAACATGGTGTTTTAACAAGAAGGTAAGAGCAGCATGTGACAGGGTTTTTAGTAGCAGCAAAGTGCAAGGTTACTTACCAGTGTTTGTTTGGGAACTGAGATTCAGAGCTACTGCCTAGAGCTACTTGTACCAAATGAAGAGATCTGCTCTGTCATGATTCGTTTCTTAATAGACAGAGTCTCAAGCTATCAAGAAATACAACACAGACACCAATGATGTTGGGCATTCTACATAATTATCTTCTACCACTTGACCTTAAATAGTCACATACTAAAATTAATAACTAGGGGGCTGGAGAGATGGCTCAGAGATTAAGAACACTGCTTTTGCAGAAGACCCGGGTTTGATTCCCAGCACCCACATGGAAGCTAACAACTGTCTGTAACTCCAGTTCCAGGGGATCCGACAGCCTCTTCTGTCCTCCGTGGGCATTGCATGACATGGGTGCACTTACATACATGCAGGCATAATGCTCATACACATAAAATAAAAATAATAAGTAAAATATTAAAAATATTTAAAAACACCATATTTACTTGATGTTTTACAGTTTAAAAAAATCAACCTCAAATATATTTTTCTCATGTGATTCTCTACAGTCTTCTAAGGCAAACACAATAGATACAATAATCTGTTACTGTTGGTCTTTTCTCCCTCCCAAATACCAATAATAGAGATCTAATTATTTAGGGGCTTGAATTACCCATCTAGTGTAGTAGACCACTACAATGCCTCTTCCTAATAAGTTTGTATTTTCCTTAAAAAGCTAAACATGGGAATGTATGCATACGCTTAATACTAACAACTAAAACCATGCTCTTTTCCTAATATTGTTGGCATTTTTTTCTCACTATGGAGAAGGGAGGGGACACTAGCCCTGGGTGCATGCTTGTCCTCTCCAGGGATGTGCTTCTGGACACATAAGATGGCAAGGCATACGATGTGAACTGTCACTTTCAAAAGCAATAATGCATAGTTTATTAAGAATCAATCAGAGAATAAATTATTACTTAGTCCTTAGTAAGTCAACAGGTACTTGATTTCCAAAACTAGTCAGACCTAACCTCACCACACTTGAAGTTTTATATTAAATTTCATACTTTTCCTAATACATGTTGTGAAAATAAGAGATTTGTGAAACATATTTGGATAAAACTTAATAAAACTTCAGATACGGAAAGTATCAGTCTATTGATTTATTTGAGTTTTATTGAAGTGATAATCATCTTAAATTTTAATCTAAAATAAAAAGACAATGTTTTTTTTTCACATACTATTATTTCACATACTTAAATGGTATATATTCAGAAAGTAATACAAAACCCTTTACTCATAATAAAGACCAAAGTAAGACCTGATACCCTGAATGATGGCCCTAGTTCTAGAATGAATTAACAACTTGCAGCACTCTCTGCCATTGGACCCCAGAAGTCAGTCTTGTGAGACCAAGTGGATGTGGTTGACTTTTCCTCTCCTTACATTCTTCCAAAGAAACAGACTCTAGTGTGGAGCCTCATAGTATAAAAAATGGAAGGCTGAGAAATACAAAAAGATCCCTCTATACCTTTCTGACTGATTTTCAGAGTGACAAATAACATAGTGCCAGATGGAGCCAGGCATGGTGGGGTACACCAGAAATACCAGCACTGGGGAGGTGGAGGCAGGAAGATGCAGAATTCAGGCATTCTCAGCCATACAGCCAGTTTGAGGCACATTTGGCTATATAAGACTGTCAACTACAACACAAATTATCATTTGGAAATATCTGTACTTGTCTTTTTCCAATAGAGATGTTTAATGGAGAAATAAAATGGAACGAGATCTAGACAATCCCTAATCCCTTGTGAATGAAAAGTTGCTAAAGATCTCAATGTGCATTTAAATCCCATTCAAACGCACTAGGTTTTTCAAGGTTTTTCATGTCTCATCCCACCACTGGCTCTGAATGAAGAGTAATTTATAAAGCAAAAACAGTACATTATCTAGGGGTAAATTTACAGACTGATGTAAACTGACAAGAAGATATGTCACCTCTTGAAATTTGCTACAGTGTCTTTAGTTCTTATTGCATATATACAATTACATGCCTTTTATAAGTTAGGACTATATATGTATATATATATACACACATATATATGTATATATATATATAATGCTCAGTTAAGCACAAGTCATGTCTATTGCTTCTCTGAAATCTTATCAGCATGCAAGTGCAATATTTGGTGTGTAGAGTTATTGTTTCAAAAAGTGAGGAACTACTTAGCTTTAACTGAGGGGAACATGATCTTTATTGGCTTTTATGCAGTTTAATTTTGGTTTTATGCAGAGCTTGCATAGTTCATGATTAGTTTCTAATGGAAAACTAGATGTGTTGTCAGTGACCTCAAAGAAGATCAGGTGACAGTGGCAAACAGAAAAATCTGAAGAAGAGGCATAACTTTTAAAGTAGAAAGATCAGCAAGAACTGCCTGAAATGGAAAAACAAAAGAAGTATTAATACCAAAGAAGTCTGTAAAACAGGTACAATAAAAACAGCCACTCAGCATGTGCTTGGCAATAGCACACTCCCCGCTCTTCAGGTCTGTCTTAGGCTACCACTGCTTTCTCATTTCTGAGTGTCTTAATGTTAGAACATGTGCAAAAGCTAAAATGTACAACAGAAAATAACCCAGACTTTAGCCTTGAGCTTTCTTCAAATATACAAGGTAGCATGAGTTTATAAGAGCTCTAACATATCAACTTGCTTCTATAAATAAACGTACATTATGAATCCTAGACCCATTATTCTGTTGTAAGGAGCAACTGACTGAGGAAATCATTCTGAGATGGAACTAATGTTTATTCAGTTGCAAGACACATAAACATCCTCTTCCCTTTAAACAGAACGTGTAGCAGTTATTTTAAGGATAAATTTTACATTCTATGAGAGAGAACAAATACAGTAACATAGTAGGCACTATTTTAATTGAGCCATATTTCAGGTATAAATTCTATCATTGGGAAGAAATCAATTCTAAATAATTAACTCACCATTAAAAAGAACCTGAAGCCGACCTGTCTTTAGTCCATCATTCAAACACAAACTCTTTAACTCTCTCAACTAGTTTTTCTCTGATAACAGTATAACCCACGGACATAAATAATAATAAGAGAGTGTACCACAAACCCTAACAGCTTCCATTAAAATTACTAGGTGTCTGCTTTCCTCTAATGGTTATAATGGTATCCTAAAATAATCTTGTTTATGACCCCTTCATAAGAAGGTTGTTTTCAAGTGCTTAGGGAAATTTGAGTACTTAATAATAATTAGCTTAGAATTTATAGGTTTTACTCAAGTTGAAAAATTCATCTACAATTAGTGTATGTTCTATGGATCAGACACCAAAGTGGAGGCCTGGCAGTCTCTCAGGAACTATTTCCATCCCATCTGAGTGAAACTTATCCTTACTTCAGCTGCAGCCAGTGATGTCACCTCCATCAGGTTCACTGCTCGGAAAGCAAACACGGCAGCTGCCAGCACTGGAAAAGAATGCACACTATTTCAACTGTTGGCCTCCTCAACAGCACAGCACAGCGCAGCTACTGCTCTGCCCATAGCCACAATGGAGAGCAGAACAGGACTGTACAGCTGTTCCTTGCCTTCTGCCTCAAGGAGTCACATGAGTGGGAACTTCTACTTCAGAGAACAGTCCCTGGTCACTACACAAAGGGAATCTCATAGTTTGGGGAAAGGACAAGTCAATAGTCTTAAAACGTCATTTATACATTATTTCTTTCATAGCTACAACTAACAATGAAACAGTTTAAAAATCCATGAAGCTCTAATGACTGTCTTACAAATTACAATTTATTTTGACACAGATGATTCTAATATATGCAATGGAGAAACTTTTAGAAAGTTATATGAAGATCAGTTTTTAAAATTTGCACAATTGTGTTTTGGGGGTATCCTGATATAAATATGGCTATAAAACTTTTAAAAAGTAATTTATAATTTTGTTATATTTTTATATACTTATTATTCACTTTATTAATGTCACAAATAGATATACGTGTGGGGAAGGCTATTGTGGGATTGATCTTGATGTTTACATTAATGTTAGCTATAAGAAAAATAAGTTGAAAGCTTGAAAAAATATAGGGTAATATAAGGCTCAATAATATACATTGAGTAGGAAACATCACAACTTTCTGTTAAACATATGCATAAGATGGGTCAGGCAAACATGCATTACTTATTAATATATGCATTACCATGAGGAGGAGAAGGCCCCAGGTACTAGGCAGGCAACCCCGGTAAGGAAAAAAGTGCTGCCTGGAGAGAATGCCTACTTCATCCCCTTTCTTTTTTCCATCACCAGTTGTGGTAGTGCTTTTCAATCACATCATTGAAATCTGGGAGACCAATGACAGTAAGTAGTAAAAATGACTTGGAAGGCTGGGTCCAGGAGTACGGCATAGCTAACACAAACACATTTTTTAACTACCATGAGACTAACCACGACAGTTAATTTCATACTAGCTCTGAGTTAAGGACTTTTTTTCAAGTTCACTTTCCTAGTGTAGAAACTAAGGCACAGTGAGTTTGCTGATATGGTCATGGTCATACAGGTAGAAAATAGTAGAGTGGATACTTAAGCCTGGCTCTAAAGACCCATGCATAATGTCCCTAGTGAGACCACAGGGAAGTGGTAAGGACCAAGCCCTGACACAAAAGATCATGTGCTTTCCAGACATGGCCTGCAGGGTGAGGCTGTGGTGTCCCTGGGCCTGACAGACGAGGGACTGTACTTAAGGAGTGGATGTCAGGCTCTGCTCTCCGGGCCTCTTACTTCGATTAGGTGCAGTGCAACCAGTGAATGGGAAGCTCCAGCACTTTTCTCGGGGAAGAGAGATTTTTGGAAATTTGGCAAAAACCATTATAAGTAGTTAGAAAAATTCTGGAGCAAACAAGGGGATAGCAATAAAACAAAAATTTAAAAACTCAAGTCAGCTGTAATTATTCACCATAACAAGGGATAGAAGAGATCTGAGTCAAAGGATTCCTCTTTTTTTTTTTTTTTTTTAACAGAAAAGAACTTAAAAGGAATTTAAGTAATGGGATTTTATGTTTACAGGAATATTAAAAACATTTCTGTAGGCCAGTAATTGTTTACTATTTTCCACTATCTGGAGTCAGATTTTGGATGGTGGTGACATTTTAGAAGCTAAGAAATATGAGTCCTCCTTCCATTTTTGTATATAACTGAATGGAGTGTTTGAAAGCTTGTCAGGATGTCCAAATATTCTGCTGGGGCAGGAAAGTCTTACATAGTGGGCAGTTGTTTGTCAAGGTAGATGAGCCTGCTGGTTGACCTCAGTATCCAAAATGTTTGTGTGCTCATAACCTTTATTTATCTTGGTGTCACATCACAGGAGTTCCTTTCTGTCTGCTTCATGTTTAGTTTGCCCAGCCCTTCTGCACAGAACAGGGTTGTTTGTCAAGGAGAAAGGATCTATACTTCAGGATGTTTTTAACTGCACCATGCTTCATGTAAAATGTGGAAATTCTAATATTTACTTTGGATTCATTTTACAACTATTCTCATCACTTTAATACTAGTCAACTTGATTGTGAACATTAAGACATCTTTGTTTTAAACTGTTCTTTAATGGCCTCTAATTCATAATTAAAGCTAGAGAAATTTATTTATTGAAAGATTTCTAAAGACTCTGTAGTAACTTACTTGATTAAAAAAGGTCATCCCCAAATACTTTGTCCAAACTGTATGAAAGAATCAGTAGTCTGTGTGTGTGTCTCTACATGCAGTGGTCTATGTGGACGGCTTTTTGCCTGAGTTCTAAGGTCGGGGAGCTCCCAGTAGTCCTGTTTCATTTCTAGAAGATCTAAAATTCGTTCCTGCTAATTTTAGAGGTCACTCAGGAAAAATGGGTAGATGCAACATGTGAATTACATCGCTACCCACCCATAAATTACTTTTAAATTAATTCCCTGAGCTAACAGTAGAGTACCTGGTTTAGAGAAAATACAGTGTTCCACATACAATTACCTCATTTACTAAGACGATGTTGAGGAGCAGAATCAGAGAACTTAAATTGGAAGTCTTTGAACCTTTTTAATATAACGTTTCTTTCATAGTAAAACCTCTTATATTTCAGGTGATAAAGAGCTCCCTCTCCTTCATTACTGTTAGAAAGTATATATTCTCACTCAGCTCCCTTTTTAACATTCTCCATTTCTTTGAAATGATACCAAATATTATATGGTCTGTTCTTTAAAATTGTTGGTATATCCAGAGGAGAGTAATACGGTGAAGTCTAAAGTCCTGGCATTTGGGAAATGGTAGCAGAACACCAGGGTGTTTGGTCTGGACCCTAGAAGACTCTAGGAATGTGTGGAGCAATGAAAGCAAAACAAGCACGATGATGATCTTGGCTTCAAATAGGGCACTTTTGAGGCTGGAGAGATGGCTCAGTGGAGGATTCCACTGGCTGCTCTTCCACAGGACCCAAGTTCAGATCCCAGGAATAACAAAAAAGAAAACTTTTGGCACTTTTTTTTCTTTTTTTTTTTTTTTTTTTTTTTTTTTTGTCTTTTTGAAGCAGGGTCTCCCTGTAGCCCCAGCTGTCCTGGAACTCACCATGTAGACCAAGCTGGCCTCGAACTCAGAGATCCGCTTGCCTCTGCCTCCCAAATGCCGGGACTACAGGCATGCACCACCATGCCAGGCAATTTTAATTTTTAGTCTAGAATTTGTTATGTAGACCAGGCTAGCCTTAATCTCATAGAGATCCACCTTAATTTTCTAATACTCTCAATGATGCAATAACTAAGTCTCTGGTGCACTAGGAAAGCAGAATGAATAAGTACTATGTGTTTGGTATGCTGTGACAGGGTTGCCTTGGTGTGGATTTGTTGTACAAACTGCTAATCATTAACTGTAGACGAACCGGCAGCTTTCTGAGCAAAGGGAAAAATTTTTTTTTTTTTTGCCTAAGAAAATCCCTAAAGGAAGAAAATCAAGAAGTAGAGTAAAAGTCAGAGACTATTAGCAAAAATAAAAAGGTTCTGAATCTAGGATAAACTGCAGTCCAGAAGAAAAGAGCTGAGCTTTCAGCTGTACAGGGACGCTCAGTCTCAGTTTACACTTCAGACAGTGGCTGCGAAGGGACACAGGACAGAACGTTATGATGCCTGGTGGGTCAGAGCAGAAAGTAAGTATATCTATCTGCTGCACAGGCTGTACACGTGGGAAGACAGCGAGCCCTGCATGGAACAGGAGGGGAAGGCAGGAAAGTAGAAATGGGCTTTCCTAGTAGCCCCAGGAAAGATGAGAAAGAGATTTGTTTTCGCCAGTATGGCAGATGTATCAAGACTGCAGAATCTCAGAGCTTGTCTCCCTAAGCCACATTGATCTATGAAATGCTCATGCATTAAAATGACAATTGTAGAACCATCTCTAATGACACATGGTGAGTGTTACACAGGAAAGGGGCCTTACTGTAGAAACGACATGTATTTCACAAACAAACATCTACTTACCAGCAAGAATTTCCAGAGAGTTGTATCCTAGGATTCTATCCCACAAAAGCAAGAGTTGATCTGTAGCTAAGTATCCAGAAAAAGCTCGAACCATCCACTTAAATGATATACGCAGTCTGTAGATAAGGAAAATGAGAATTAATTTTATTCCTGGATTTATTTTCCTACAAAAGTAGTAGTATCAGAAAAGTCCAACCAATTCTGTCAATAATGCACATCTGTGGAGAGTCTATTTTCTAAAAGTTGCAAAGGCACAGAGGCAAAAAAACCGAGCCCTTGAACTGCAGTTCATAAACTATAAAGAAGGCTTGCACATGCTGGGTCCTCCTTAATGTTGGTGTTCAATCTTTTTTTAAAATGTTTTATTTATTATTTTAATTTTATGTGTAGGATTGTATTGCCTGCATATATGTGTGTGCATCCGTGTTATGCAATGGTCAGAAGAGGGCTTCAGATTCCCCAGAACTGGACTTCCCTTGAACTGCAGTTCATAAACTATAAAGAAGGCTTGCACATGCTGGGTCCTCCTTAATGTTGGTGTTCAATCTTTTTTTAAAATGTTTTATTTATTATTTTAATTTTATGTGTAGGATTGTATTGCCTGCATATATGTGTGTGCATCCGTGTTATGCAATGGTCAGAAGAGGGCTTCAGATTCCCCAGAACTGGACTTAAGATGGTTCATAGCCACCATGTGGGTGCTGGGAATCAAACCCAGGTCCTCTGCAAGAGCAGTCAGTGCTCTTAACCGCTGTGCCATCTCTCCAGCCCCCAATCTTTTTTTTTTT